TTTTTCCCATTGCAATATCCTCTAAAATCTTCTAGAAGGTATGAGTTATAGCTGCCTTCTGATTGTTAAAATCTTCTAGAAGATATGAGTTATAGCTGCCTTCTGATTGTTCTACTGTCAGGTGTTGCTCAGTTGGGCTGGCTGGTTAGAGTGCAGCCTTACAACACTAAATTCATGGGTTAAGATTCCTGTACAGGCCAGCTGCCAAAAAAAAAAAAAAGTGTTGCTTGGTTGAACTGTGGGTAGAAACAATTAGTACAATTTTTTTTGAGAAAGCAGAGTTACTTCACTGACTTGGTGAGAGGAAAAATGCTTGGAACACAATGGCCTGTGTTTAAAAACTTTGTTCCCAAAACTGTACAAGAATGAGCAACTTAACTTGCTATTTATTCTAACATGGTTAACATGAGTAATAACCTCAAAAGAAGTCAGAGAAACAACAGTCTTACTTTAAAGGGCACCACATTGGGAAGAGATTCCAAAATCAAAGCAAATCCGTAACTCTGCTAGTAATGTATCACATATGGTCAGAAAAGTACACTTGCCAGCACACTAGGAGAAAATGCTCATTGAAAATTGATGGGTAGGAATAAGTTAATATAAGCCTAACCTATTGACTTCTTAAAGCAAAATGAAGACAGCTGTAAGATCTTTTCTCCCTTCCATCATAGCAAAATTAGCCATTGGTAAGTTAGCAAGCCGTATGGTAAAATAAAAACAATACGTCACTATTTAATTTCTGCCCTTTGTTGTTCCATTATTCTTTTGCCAGGCCTGGTATTCGTCATTCTGTGTTTTTGAAGCTGACACTGAGTCTATAGAAATTCTTTTGTATTTCCTTTTTAGTTTTCTTTGTCTTCAAAAACTTCTTATGCTAAGGTACAGATGTCTCATAGGAAAAGCCAGTTCCACACATCTGTGTACGTGTGTGATTGTGAAGTTTTCCATCTTCAGTGGCATTTCTCTCTTGTTTTAGTTTTGACTTTGAAAGTGTGGAAAGCACTGTGGAGAGTTCGGTGGACAAATCAAAGCCCTGGAGTAGGTCCATCGAGGACCTGCACAGAGGGAGCAACTTGCCCTCACCTGTGGCCAACAGTGTCTCCCGCTCTGGAAGACATTCTGCAATGCGGTAAGTTCCTTTAAGCAGGAGGCAGCTTTGGTAGGGTGCACTGGGACATCAGGGTCCCACCCTTCTGGCAGTGTATCAGTGTATCATGCCACAACAGCACTTTCATTTCTTATGTCTCTAGCTGAAAGTTTCATTAGGAGTTCATGGGCCTTCCCTTGGGCTCTAGAACTTTGAATATCTTTCTGGAAACAACATACCTTGATTCAGCACAGGAAGTGAAAAAATTCTGCCAAATGATACAACAGAGTAGTCTTGTAGACAGATGAGTTTCTAAAACCATGTAGATGTTGTCATTGCGATGTAGGCATTGTTTCCTGGGTAGAGGCAGCACCTTGAGACTTGGTGATCTGGAGTCCCATGTTGCTGTTTAT